CCTCAATCGATGATATGTTTACCCCAAATTCTTTCTTTAATGACTCCTTTAGCGTTCTCCAATTTTTAATGCATGGTTGGCTTCTAACGAAAATTTTTGCTGCGTCAGTCAATAGTTGTTTACCGTAAATAAATTTTCGCAAATCGTCCCAACCCACTGTACACACACAACCTTCAAATTCACGGAGCCACTGGTCAATATTGGGTAATTGGTCTCCAGAGAAGCTTGAGACCGAGTCCTGATTATCTTTTAAAGTAAAGTAATTCGAATGTCCAACTACTGATGTTGCTTCACCATAGTCATATCCATCATCTTCAGTTTTGCAATGACCATAATATTCGAAGAGGCGGGCCTGCAACTCACTCTTAGTTCCAGTACGAGATAAATTCAATTCCCCCAATTTCTCTTTTAAACCCTCTACAGTGAATTGTTCAATTTCCTTCTTGTCCATGTTGATGTTGTCTACAGCCGTTTTGCAAAAATAAATTTTAAATTCAAAATAGTATACGGTAATACAATACTTAAATACTTATTCTATAAAATATAATTTCAATGTAACCTAATAAAATATGAATCGCAACTCAAATAAAATAGATCTAACGGAATATTGCTTCGACTTTATGTCGACATCTCAAAACAATATGCGCAACCACAATTAAATTTACTTTGCTTCTATGCTGCCGTTAAATTACAAGAACAACAATGATTATACATCAAATTTGATTTTACAAAAACAATTCAATACGACTACCTTTTCTTAGAACATACGCATTAACATAAACAACATACATACAAAGTTGTCTGTCCCAGAATTCTGCTTATCTAACTGTCGTTGCGTTCACCGATATTGCATCATAAACTTAGGGTTCATAGCTGTTGTTGTTAGTTTAATTATGACAAGAAAATACTCATGAAGTTTATTTTTTATTTCATAACTCTAAATTTACATCACCTATTTTAAGAAAACCCAAATAAACAATAAGAACTAATGTTCATTAACATTCAACAAAGTGTTTTCTTTTGAACATTAAGGTAGCCAAACCTACATAATTGGGGGCTCGTCCTGTGCAAATAAGATGATGTGATGTAGTGATACTTGTGAACTTTGAAGAAGAGTTGTAATGAAAAGAGTTAAACATTGAAGTACAATTTAACTAATATATTACAAACACATAATTATTAAAGTGACTCAAAATTCTGATGCAATCATTAAATCGCCAAATATATATATATATATATATATATATATATAGATATATATACATATATATATATATATATATATATATATATATATATATATATATATATATATATATATATATATATATATATATATATATATATATATATATGTAGGGACGGGTTACGCAACCACTACATTACGCAATAGAATAATTTAATTGACAATTGAACATACCTCAATGAGCATGACTACTCGACGCATAACTAAACATAGACGCATGCGATTTGACTAAGTTGCACTTAACGCCGTAAACAAGAAAACAAGACACAGTCGTTTAGAAGTATTGACAGTGAAAAGAAGACAAACGGACACAGTCGTTCAGAAGAATTTGAAGTGAAAAGAAGTTTTAAAAGCAAGAAGTTGCATTTGTGAAGTTTAATTTTATAAGGACCCAAGAACTTCGGTTTCAACTTCAAGCCTGTTCCAAATTGGGTACACTTAATGGCTACCAATTCACCTTTATTATAATTTATCTCCGGCACTCTTCTCCTATTGTAGACCCTTCGGTTTTCCTGTTGGATTTTCAAAATATTTTCTTTTGCTTCTTCTCTAAGCGAATTTCGCTCATTTTTAAATTCTTCAATAGTGAGCTCTTCTAAAATTTGTCGAGTAAAGGGACAATCATTAATTTTCATATCTACTCCGGTCAATAATTTAAACGGCGCGATATCTGTGCTTCGAGTATTATTTTTGGTTGTCTGTACGCGATCTACGTGTTTGTACCAATTACCAGGCGATTCAACACATAATTTTGCTAGCATTGGGATAATTATTCTATGCATACGTTCCACCTGCCCATTGCCACGCGGAACACCAGTTGAAATCAATAAGTGTTGTATTCCCTGGGTTTTACAATATTCGTCGAATTGTTTGGACGTGAATGCTGTGCCTCTATCTGTTATAACTTTTTGTGGATTACCAAACACCGATGATTGTTTGCATAACTTATCTATCACTTCGTTTGTGCCTGTGCTCTTAGTGGGGTACAACCACACAAACTTGGTAAATGCATCTACCACCACGAGAATATCGTTATACTGCTTGTGAGTATATTCCATTGGCCCTACATGATCTAGATGGTACGTTACTAAAGGTTTATCAGCTTTGTCTATCGGATTGAGTAAGCCATCCTTTCGACCTCTCTTGGAATCTATCACTATGCATTCGACACAGTTCTTTACTATATTCTCTGTCTTCTTAGGCAAGTCTGGAATAAAGTAATTTTTGCTAAGTCCTGCTTTTTTCTTACTGCAAAGTGTCCTTGTCTATGAGCTAGTTTTATAATTTCGTTCTCCATTGATGATGGTATTACAATTAGTTCCTTGTTTGGATCTTTATGTAATGTATCAAACTGAATATAGAAATCGTCATATGTACTGTACTCTAGCACTTTTCTAATTGCTCTGACCCATTCATCTTGTAACTGAGCTTCTCTAATACGATGTTTTAAAGAGTCTTCTATCATTAAACATGACAATCTACTCAAAGCATCTACATGTTTCATTCTTGTTCCTGGTCTATACTCAATAGTGTAACTAAACTCTTGCAGGTATAATGCCCATCGGGATATTCTAGGCGGAACATCATGTTTACGCATCGTTAGTGCGAAAGCGTTACAGTCTGTTACAATTTTTATATTAAGGCCTAGAACGTAAATCCTCCATTTCTTCAGTGCTTCTACAACTGCTAACACCTCTAACTCAAAAGAATGATACTTTTGCTCAGCTGCGGTAGTTTTTCTACTCATGTACTTCACTGGATGGTATTTCTGGTCATCATCCTTTTGGAGTAATGCTGCTCCGTACCCATACATGCTGGCATCTGCATGAATCTCAGTTAACGAATTTGGGTCAAATGTATATATATATATATATATATATATATATATATATATATATATATATATATATATATATATATATATGTAGGGACGGGTTACGCAACCACTGCATTACGCAATAGAATAATTTAATTGACAATTAAACATACCTCAATGAGCATGACTACTCGACGCATAACTAAACATAGACGCATGCGATTTGACTAAGTTGCACTTAACGCCGTAAACAAGAAAACAAGACACAGTCGTTTAGAAGTATTGACAGTGAAAAGAAGACAAACGGACACAGTCGTTCAGAAGAATTTGAAGTGAAAAGAAGTTTTAAAAGCAAGAAGTTGCATTTGTGAAGTTTAATTTTAACAAGAAAATACTCGTGAAGTTTATTTTTTATTTCAAAGATGGTTCTAGACGTCTATGCTGCGACTAAGTTAAATAAAAAAAAAAGATAATTCGTGATAATTTCCCAATAACAGTTATAGACGACGTCATTCAAAGATTGTTGAATGCTAAGGTTTTCACCACATTAGATCTCAAAAACGGTTTCTTCCATGTACCAATTGAGCGGGATTCCCAAAAGTATACTGCATTTGTGACGCATAATGGACAATACGAATTTAGATATGTTCCGTTTGGCATATCAAATTCCCCTGCAGTTTTTTGCCGATACATATCGTCAACATTTTGGGGAATTAGTTTACGATGGAACATTAGTAATATACATGGATGATATTGTAATTCCATCCAAAGACTGTGTTGAGGGAATAGCTAAACTGAGAAAAGTATTGAAAGTAGCAGAATCAAACGGACTGAAAATAAAGTGGAAAAAGTGCCAATTTCTTCAAAGAAAGATTCAATTTTTGGGTTACGTTATAGAAAACTCCACGATATTGCCATCGGTAGAAAAGACAAAAGCTGTACAAACTATCCTTTACCTCAATCAAGAAAAGCTTTGCAAAGATTTTTGGGTTTAACATCATATTTTAGACGTTTTGTTGAAGGATATGCTACAATAGCGCTTCCGTTAACTGACTTGTTAAAGAAGGAAAGTGCGTTTAAGATGGGAGATAAAGAAATTTTAGCCTTTAGTTCATTAGTGAAGGCTCCCATTTAAAAAATATTTGACCCAAATTCGTTAACTGAGATTCATGCAGATGCCAGCATGTATGGGTACGGAGCAGCATTACTCCAAAAGGATGATGACCAGAAATACCATCCAGTGAAGTACATGAGTAGAAAAACTACCGCAGCTGAGCAAAAGTATCATTCTTTTGAGTTAGAGGTGTTAGCAGTTGTAGAAGCACTGAAGAAATGGAGGATTTACGTTCTAGGCCTTAATATAAAAATTGTAACAGACTGTAACGCTTTCGCACTAACGATGCGTAAACATGATGTTCCGCCTAGAATATCCCGATGGGCATTATACCTGCAAGAGTTTAGTTACACTATTGAGTATAGACCAGGAACAAGAATGAAACATGTAGATGCTTTGAGTAGATTGTCATGTTTAATGATAGAAGACTCTTTAAAACATCGTATTAGAGAAGCTCAGTTACAAGATGAATGGGTCAGAGCAATTAGAAAAGTGCTAGAGTACAGTACATATGACGATTTCTATATTCAGTTTGATACATTACATAAAGATCCAAACAAGGAACTAATTGTAATACCATCATCAATGGAGAACGAAATTATAAAACTAGCTCATAGACAAGGACACTTTGCAGTAAGAAAAAAGCAGGACTTAGCAAAAATTACTTTATTCCAGACTTGCCTAAGAAGACAGAGAATATAGTAAAGAACTGTGTCGAATGCATAGTGATAGATTCCAAGAGAGGTCGAAAGGATGGCTTACTCAATCCGATAGACAAAGCTGATAAACCTTTAGTAACGTACCATCTAGATCATGTAGGGCCAATGGAATATACTCACAAGCAGTATAACGATATTCTCGTGGTGGTAGATGCGTTTACCAAGTTTGTGTGGTTGTACCCCACTAAGAGCACAGGCACAAACGAAGTAATAGATAAGTTATGCAAACAATCATCGGTGTTTGGTAATCCACAAAAAGTTATAACAGATAGAGGCACAGCATTCACGTCCAAACAATTCGACGAATATTGTAAAACCCAGGGAATACAACACTTATTGATTTCAACTGGTGTTCCGCGTGGCAATGGGCAGGTGGAACGTATGCATAGAATAATTATCCCAATGCTAGCAAAATTATGTGTTGAATCGCCTGGTAATTGGTACAAACACGTAGATCGCGTACAGACAACCAAAAATAATACTCGAAGCACAGATATCGCGCCGTTTAAATTATTGACCGGAGTAGATATGAAAATTAATGATTGTCCCTTTACTCGACAAATTTTAGAAGAGCTCACTATTGAAGAATTTAAAAATGAGCGAAATTCGCTTAGAGAAGAGGCAAAAGAAAATATTTTGAAAATCCAACAGGAAAACCGAAGGGTCTACAATAGGAGAAGAGTGCCGGAGATAAATTATAATAAAGGTGAATTGGTAGCCATTAAGTGTACCCAATTTGGAACAGGCTTGAAGTTGAAACCGAAGTTCTTGGGTCCTTATAAAGTTGTCCAAAAGATAAACCATGGCATATACGTTGTCGAAAAGTTAGGTGATACTGAAGGTCCTAAAAAATGTACAACCGAGCCAAGTACATGAAACATTGGAATGTCCATTCGAGGCCGAATGTGCATCAGGATGGCCGATTGTAGGGACGGGTTACGCAACCACTACATTACGCAATAGACTAATTTAAGTGACAATTAAACATAGCTCAATGAGCATGACTACTCGACGCAAACTAAACATAGACGCATGCGATTTGACTAAGTTGCACTTAACGCCGTAAACAAGAAAACAAGACACAGTCGTTTAGAAGTATTGAAAAGAAGACAAACGGACACAGTCGTTCAGAAGAATTTGAAGTGAAAAGAAGTTTTAAAAGCAAGAAGTTGCATTTGTGAAGTTTAATTTTAACAAGAAAATACTCGTGAAGTTTATTTTTTATTTCATGTTAAAATAACTCTAAATTTACATCACCTATTTTAAGAAAATCTAACAAAGTGTTTTCTTTGAACATATATAATAAAATAGCCTTAGTCATTTGGTAATTGTCTCTGACGGACTCAAATATTTTTTGATCATTATTTTATGTTGTTAAAATAATATTAAAAAACATAGAAATCTTTTTCTGGCATATTTCTTAATTTTGTGCATTCGTCCAAAATGTTGTCCATTTCATATTCGAACTTAGTATAACTTACTGCCTCCATTACTGATTATTTTACTCTTATCTTTTTTCGGAATTTTATCAAATTTATGAATTTTATTTATTTATTTGTAATATTTCTTTTTAATCGTATTGTTATAATTATCTTGTACTTGGTTACATTTATTATTATATATGGTTCACTTTCAAACTTCAAGTAAGTCGAATTAGATATCAACAATATTTGAAGTATAATTATCTTGTCTCTCAATTAATATCTAATATGTAATTTATTGAAAATGTATGAACGTGTTATAAATGTTGTTTTTAATTATATACTTTTATATTTTTAAATTAGTTTTATTTCAATTCAAAAACAAATATGATACCTTCAGTACGTGTACTACAATAGAACCACACGAACTAGGACCCATATATATAATCAGAAAGATCATCAAAATACCGAATATCGGGGGGTACCGTTATATGGGGGCTAAAAAATGAAAAAATTAACTTGTATGCAAAATTTTAGCCTTCTATCTCAATTCGTTCGAAAGACACACGAACATCGCTAAATCGATTTAGAATTTTACACTGATCAAGAATATATATATATATATATATATATATATATATATATATATATATATATATATATATATATATATATATATATATATATATATATATATATATATATATATATATATATATATATATATACTTTGTTAGGTCTGGCATGAGTATTTCGAGGAGTTACAAACGGAATGACAATGTTAATGTTAATATACCCTCTATGGTATGGTGGAGGGTAAAAAAAGTATTAATTTTCACTTAAATTTGATTTAAAAATTGTAAGAAGTGTTGTTGTTTTGAAATTTGCATTCGAATTGGCGGCTTTTGTGATATTTGTCACTAATGCGTGCAATAAATTAACACTGTCATTTCAAAGAAGTAATTTATGAAATACATTGGAATCTATGTGTTATATTATATCTAACATTCATTAAAATAACACGTATACACTAACACATTTATAAAGATCACTCTCCTTTGTTTAATTATACCCTCCACCTTGGAATGAAAAAAATCAACAAAAATTTTCTCACAAATTTGATTTAAAAATTGTAAAAAGTGTTGTTGTTTTGAAATTTGCATTTAAAAGTGGCGGCTTTTGTGTTATTTGTCACAAATGCATACAACAAATTTACACTGCCATTTCGAAGAAGTAATTTATGAAATACATTGAAATCTATATCTTTCTAACACCCATTAAAATAACACATATACACTAACACATTTATAAAGATCACTCTCCTTTGTTTAATTATATGCTCCAACTTGGAATTAAGGTTATATTAACATTGTTATTCCGTTTGTAACATCCCTAAATAATCGATGTAGACCCCATAATAATGTATGTATATTCATAATCAGCATAAAATTCTAAGTCGATTTAACGATGTCCGTCTGTCTGTCTGTTGAAATCACGATACAGCCCACATTATTTGACGTAGAGCGTCAAAATTCAGCAGAACAATTTGCATTGCGTCTAGCATGGTTGGTGTTGAAAATCAGATATATCGGTCCACATTTTGGTATAGTCCCCATATAACGGTACCTCCCGATATTTGGTATTTTCATGATTTTTGCCACATTTTTCACGGATTTGTCTGAAAATTGGTTCTTGTAGGTCATAATGGGTCCTAGTTCGTGTGGCGAAACATTTTATGTATGGATCCACGCTTTGGTATAGTCCCCATATAACGGTACCTCCCGATATTCCGTATTTTAATAATTTTTGCCACATTTTCCCAGGAATATGTCTAAAATGGGTATTTGTGGGTCATAATGGATTCTAATGTTTCCTTTACCCTAAGATGGAGAGTATTAAAAGGACCGGCCAAACTTAATAACAAAAGTTTGCTGTAAACGTATTCTAAAGTAATACACGTACTGAACGTATTATAAATTGATTTTGAATTGAAATTAAACTAATTTAAATATATAAAAATAATTAATTAAAAACAAAATTTATAACGCATTAATGAATTTTCAATAAATGTTTACATATTAAATATTAATTGAGGAACAAGATAATTATACTTCAAATATTTTTGTTATCTAATTCGATTTACTTGAAGTTTGAAAGTGCAATTAAATAATAATAAATATAACCAAGTATAACGATTAAAAAACTAATACGAATAAATAAATAAAATTCATAAGTTTGATAAAATTCCGAAAAAGATAAAAATAAAATAATCAGTAATGGAGTCAGTAAGTTGTGCTAAGTTCGAATATGAAATGGACAACCTTTTGGACGAATGCACAAAATGAAGAAATATGCCAGAAAAAGATTTATCTGCTTCTTTAATAGAAACAAAATTAGAATTGATTGATGAAGATTGGCAAAATTTACGTAGTGCGATTAATAGTGTACTTTTTGCATTAACAGAGGAAGAAGAAGAAAACAACATAAAAGAATGATCAAAAAATATTTGAGTCCATCAGAGACAATTACCAAATGACTAAGGTTATTTTATTAGAAATATTAATATTTATATGACTGTTAGTCAGAGAATAGAGTTCGCAAGGAATGCGTGAGTATGCATAGGTGTATGTTTTGCAAAAAGAAGCATCATACTAAATTGCACTAACAAAGTAATGTACAAGAGAGATCTACACAACTGAGAAATGTTACATGAGATAATCAAGCATCTGTCCGATCAACAAATGGACGTCAAAGAAATACTCTTGTTACCACTGACAATACTGTTGATGGAATGCCATGTTCATCTGGTTTCATAGTTCAAGCTTCCAATGTGGAAACACACGTTTCAGTGTGTCATGAGTAGTAGTGTATTCGACTTCTGATGCAGGAAATGGGATCGATTAATCCAAATTTTATCTATAATGGATGAAGTGCGTTACGTGTTGATCCCTTTATGCACGTGACGGTTCTTTTAAAGTAAATAATAAGAAAGTGTAGCTAATTAATATTCTGATCGTGCTAAATTATAGAAAATCATGTGAATATTGTATTAAAGTGGTGTAAAAGTGTTAATTTACGCATATTAATTTCATATATGCAGTTCTGATGGCTCATATTATTGATTGAAAAGTCTAATATATTCGATTCTTGGTGCAACAAGTCGATCTTGCAAGCAGTTGAAATATTTAAGGATTTGAAAATTTAAATTGTTCTAAGTAAGGGATTTTAAAAGGTCGGCTGAAGAAAAAATGTATGTGACAAAAATATAAGAGTATGTTCTTGTAAATAATTTAAATGATATTAAGAAGTAGAATAGTAAAGGTTGATTAAGATAATTATGTGGGTGTTGATAAAAATGCTTGGATAATAAAATAAAGCAAAGAAATTAGAAAAGGTCGGTTTAGATAATTATGTGTGACACAGTAAAAGTTGAACTTGTTAACAGTTGAAGTGGTTGTAAGAAAGGTATTGAAAACAACATTTTCCGTCCAAAATGTACGTGACAAGAAAGATTGATCTTTTAAACAGTGGGGGTTGTTTAAAGCAAGGTGAATATTGTTATTGTAGTGGTTGTAAAGAAGCACTGGGTACGTTTTACGGATTCCAAAGAAAATCAGTAAAAATATGATTGGTAAATAGAAAGGTGAGGGTTTCATATATTGTTATAAGAAATTAATGGTAAGTGTGTGTCAGTTGAATTTTTTTTTCAAACATAATCACTTTGCGTTGAGACTACAACCGAAACCACCAAAATCATTTTAAAAAATCCTATTATCAATGGCACCAACAGCGTTTATTTGCAGTTTTTGCTCTAAGCAACTAGCCAGTAAGGAATCTTATAAAAAACATTGCCAATTACATAAAATGCGCTGTATATGTAAAAGATTTGTGCATCATTCCAAAGCTTTGGAATTACATTTCCAAAAATATTTTCCTTTCCAAAGGATTTTGTCGCAGCCTTATCAATATATACAAAAGCTTCAACAATTACATCACCAACAACAAAGTGACGAACAATCAACAACAGCAACATATGTTCGAGCAACAACCGCGGCAACATATGTGTGAACAACAACAACACATGTATGCCCAACAACAGCACCACATGTATGCTCAACATCAACAATCACATGATCAACAACAGCAACAGTATGAGCAACAACAACTGCAAAATAGAAATCATAAGTGTCAACATGTTAAACAGCAACCACATCAATTCCAACAGATAAATCAACATCAGCAGCACATGTATGCTCAGTATGAAAAACAACAACAAAATAGAAATCATCGGTGTCAACATCAGCAAGTACACCAAGATCAGCAAAATGTTAAACAGCAACCACAGCACTTCTAATAGATAAATCAACATCAGCAGCGAATAGATAAAAAACAGCCAACAATAAATAGATCAACAGCAGCTAATATATGATCAACAAAACCTTCAACAGCAGCCACAATCGCACCAGCTGCACTTCCAACAACATAATCAATTATCTGAGGAACATCAATCACATGAATAACCGAACTCACATTGTCAAAAGCAAATTCGTCAGCAAGAACAACAATTTTGTGAGTCTTGCAATGTTGTAATCCCTAAAATATTATGGTCTAAACATTTTAGGACCCAATATATCCACTTAGATAATAAGTGGAAAATCGTGTAGGAACTTATCAATATAAATGTGATGGAGTTCATATTGATTTCAATGAATTCCTAACAGATTCTAGTCAACCGATATTTCAATTATAGAAAAAAGATTTAGCAGAGCTGACACTAATAAAGTTCAATATTATTCTCATTGCGCAGTACATTAAGACATCGGATGAAAAAATTATTTCAACGAGGATTAATCACTCAACCAAGATGTCCCAAATAACTTTTGCCGAGTGTAGAGGAGATATATATTAAGTCCATAATATATAAAGTCCATAAAATTATTTCAACGAGGATTAATCACTCAACCAAGATGTCCCAAATAACTCCTGCCGATTGTACAGAAGAAATATATAAAGTCCATATTGATTCTGTAAAGAATAAAATGGCTGAATTTCAAGAGAGAGAGAGATTCTAGATGGATTCTACACAAAATAATTGTTCTAGAGTTGAGTATAAATAAATCCTCTCCAATTAAGGGCTTCGAATATATTAAAACCTCAAGAGCATGCTGGAACATTTCCAATGGTGATGCATATAGCTTCAAGTGGTGTGCTATTGCAGCAATGCACCTCCATTAACAAACAAAACAAGACCTTCTGCAAATAATATACTTGATATAGGTGCTGATAAAATCACGGATAATCCTCAATTTTGAAGGATTGTCATTCCCCATGGAATTGAAAGCAATCCACAAATTTGAGGAGAATAATCCAACAAATGTATAAATGTGTTCGGATTTGATATAAGGAATGATTCTGTTGTTGTTGTTGTTAGACCTTTTTATAATACAAAAGAGGAAAAAGCGTGCCATAATAATATAAATAGAATCTTGTCTCATATGTGATAAGAAATTGTGCAATGATAATCATTGCCATATAACGGAAACATTTCCCGAAAGATAATGAATTTAATTTAATGCGAAGGAAAGGTGTATTCTGCTATGAATATCTGAATTCATTTAATAAGTTTCTTCCACCCATAGGAAATGTAATGAGGGTGAATACAGTCATGCAATCAAAGTCTGGCAAACATTTAATTGTGAAACCTTGCGTGCTTATATGGAATTATATTTGCAGACTGATGTGCTACTCCCCACTGACGTTTTTGAAAATTACAGGAAATCGTGCAAACGCATTCATAAGCTTGATCGCTGCCAGTATTATACAGCTCCTGCTTTATAATTTGACGCCATGCTTAGACATACTGCGGTGGATCTAGATCTGTTAACGGATCTAGAAATGTTTAATTTCTTTAAGAATGGCTTTCGTGGAAATTTGACACAATGCTCGAGAAGATTATATATATAAATATATATATATATATATATATATATATATATATATATATATATATATATATATATATATATATATATATATATATATATATATATATATATATATATATATATATCCACATTTTGGTATAGTCCCCATATAACGGTACCTCCCGATATTTGGTATTTTCATGATTTTTGCCACATTTTTCACGGATTTGTCTGAAAATTGGTTCTTGTAGGTCATAATGGGTCCTAGTTCGTGTGGCGAAACATTTTATGTATGGATCCACGCTTTGGTATAGTCCCCATATAACGGTACCTCCCGATATTCCGTATTTTAATAATTTTTGCCACATTTTCCCAGGAATATGTCTAAAATGGGTATTTGTGGGTCATAATGGATTCTAATGTTTCCTTTACCCTAAGATGGAGAGTATTAAAAGGACCGGCCAAACTTAATAACAAAAGTTTGCTGTAAACGTATTCTAAAGTAATACACGTACTGAACGTATTATAAATTGATTTTGAATTGAAATTAAACTAATTTAAATATATAAAAATAATTAATTAAAAACAAAATTTATAACGCATTAATGAATTTTCAATAAATGTTTACATATTAAATATTAATTGAGGAACAAGATAATTATACTTCAAATATTTTTGTTATCTAATTCGATTTACTTGAAGTTTGAAAGTGCAATTAAATAATAATAAATATAACCAAGTACAACGATTAAAAAACTAATACGAATAAATAAATAAAATTCATAAGTTTGATAAAATTCCGAAAAAGATAAAAATAAAATAATCAGTAATGGAGTCAGTAAGTTGTGCTAAGTTCGAATATGAAATGGACAACCTTTTGGACGAATGCACAAAATGAAGAAATATGCCAGAAAAAGATTTATCTGCTTCTTTAATAGAAACAAAATTAGAATTGATTGATGAAGATTGGCAAAATTTACGTAGTGCGATTAATAGTGTACTTTTTGCATTAACAGAGGAAGAAGAAGAAACCAACATAAAAGAATGATCAAAAAATATTTGAGTCCATCAGAGACAATTACCAAATGACTAAGGTTATTTTATTAGAAATATTAATATTTATATGACTGTTAGTCAGAGAATAGAGTTCGCAAGGAATGCGTGAGTATGCATAGGTGTATGTTTTGCAAAAAGAAGCATCATACTAAATTGCACTAACAAAGTAATGTACAAGAGAGATCTACACAACTGAGAAATGTTACATGAGATAATCAAGCATCTGTCCGATCAACAAATGGACGTCAAAGAAATACTCTTGTTACCACTGACAATACTGTTGATGGAATGCCATGTTCATCTGGTTTCATAGTTCAAGCTTCCAATGTGGAAACACACGTTTCAGTGTGTCATGAGTAGTAGTGTATTCGACTTCTGATGCAGGAAATGGGATCGATTAATCCAAATTTTATCTATAATGGATGAAGTGCGTTACGTGTTGATCCCTTTATGCACGTGACGGTTCTTTTAAAGTAAATAATAAGAAAGTGTAGCTAATTAATATTCTGATCGTGCTAAATTATAGAAAATCATGTGAATATTGTATTAAAGTGGTGTAAAAGTGTTAATTTACGCATATTAATTTCATATATGCAGTTCTGATGGCTCATATTATTGATTGAAAAGTCTAATATATTCGATTCTTGGTGCAACAAGTCGATCTTGCAAGCAGTTGAAATATTTAAGGATTTGAAAATTTAAATTGTTCTAAGTAAGGGATTTTAAAAGGTCGGCTGAAGAAAAAATGTATGTGACAAAAATATAAGAGTATGTTCTTGTAAATAATTTAAATGATATTAAGAAGTAGAATAGTAAAGGTTGATTAAGATAATTATGTGGGTGTTGATAAAAATGCTTGGATAATAAAATAAAGCAAAGAAATTAGAAAAGGTCGGTTTAGATAATTATGTGTGACACAGTAAAAGTTGAACTTGTTAACAGTTGAAGTGGTTGTAAGAAAGGTATTGAAAACAACATTTTCCGTCCAAAATGTACGTGACAAGAAAGATTGATCTTTTAAACAGTGGGGGTTGTTTAAAGCAAGGTGAATATTGTTATTGTAGTGGTTGTAAAGAAGCACTGGGTACGTTTTACGGATTCCAAAGAAAATCAGTAAAAATATGATTGGTAAATAGAAAGGTGAGGGTTTCATATATTGTTATAAGAAATTAATGGTAAGTGTGTGTCAGTTGAATTTTTTTTTCAAACATAATCACTTTGCGTTGAGACTACAACCGAAACCACCAAAATCATTTTAAAAAATCCTATTATCAATGGCACCAACAGCGTTTATTTGCAGTTTTTGCTCTAAGCAACTAGCCAGTAAGGAATCTTATAAAAAACATTGCCAATTACATAAAATGCGCTGTATATGTAAAAGATTTGTGCATCATTCCAAAGCTTTGGAATTACATTTCCAAAAATATTATCCTTTCCAAAGGATTTTGTCGCAGCCTTATCAATATATACAAAAGCTTCAACAATTACATCACCAACAACAAAGTGACGAACAATCAACAACAGCAACATATGTTCGAGCAACAACCGCGGCAACATATGTGTGAACAACAACAACACATGTATGCCCAACAACAGCACCACATTTATGCTCAACATCAACAATCACATGATCAACAACAGCAACAGTATGAGCAACAACAACTGCAAAATAGAAATCATAAGTGTCAACATGTTAAACAGCAACCACATCAATTCCAACAGATAAATCAACATCAGCAGCACATGTATGCTCAGTATGAAAAACAACAACAAAATAGAAATCATCGGTGTCAACATCAGCAAGTACACCAAGATCAGCAAAATGTTAAACAGCAACCACAGCACTTCTAATAGATAAATCAACATCAGCAGCGAATAGATAAAAAACAGCCAACAATAAATAGATCAACAGCAGCTAATATATGATCAACAAAACCTTCAACAGCAGCCACAATCGCACCAGCTGCACTTCCAACAACATAATCAATTATCTGAGGAACATCAATCACATGAATAACCGAACTCACATTGTCAAAAGCAAATTCGTCAGCAAGAACAACAATTTTGTGAGTCTTGCAATGTTGTAATCCCTAAAATATTATGGTCTAAACATTTTAGGACCCAATATATCCACTTAGATAATAAGTGGAAAATCGTGTAGGAACTTATCAATATAAATGTGATGGAGTTCATATTGATTTCAATGAATTCCTAACAGATTCTAGTCAACCGATATTTCAATTATAGAAAAAAGATTTAGCAGAGCTGACACTAATAAAGTTCAATATTATTCTCATTGCGCAGTACATTAAGACATCGGATGAAAAAATTATTTCAACGAGGATTAATCACTCAACCAAGATGTCCCAAATAA